TCGGGGCGATTTTCAGCCTGACCGAAATCGGAGGGCGGTTCCTCATGGAGCGCTGCCTCACTCTGATTGGACAGGAACGTAAATCGCAGCTGAAACCACCAAAAACCACCAAGACCCCAACCCCTTATGGACAGACCACCCAACAGTGGAATCATCAGCTGTTTGTCTTTGAATGGACTTCCTCTTACTTGGACTTAATGGAAACTCCGCCCTCGCTGTGGGATCAGTCTGAGACGGAACTGGCGTAGGATGGGGGCGGGGCTTAGTATGTCATATCAGCATGAACTCTAACCAGTGCGTCGCTGTTTGTTCGAGATTCTGCTAATTCTGCGGTCGTTCCGTTGATTCACGTTAAAACAGGACGATGTTTTCTCTGAAAACAAACGATTATTGATCTTTGAAAACTGGCGTGTGTGACCTTTGACCTCCAGACTCTGAATCAAAGTCAGGGGGATTTTTGTCTCCGGTGTCACCGGATCAGAACGGGACTCAAGTCCAAGTCTTTCAGAGACCGGCTCCATATCAATCAGGAGGACTTCATTTCTTATGTATTGAATGTAAATAAAAGTTATTGATCAAGTATTCATTGATTGAAATCATGTTTTCGCAGTGACACACTTCCTGTTTCGTACGTCCAAGGAAAGCCGCTGTGCATGAAACAGCATGAAGACGTGGTCTCCTCATGCAGGATCCCTCATCCTGAACTGGACTCCATGGTGGTTTACAAAAGTCCAGACGCCCCCAAACACATCAGCCTGGTCCGCAACGGTCAGGTGAGACACACCTGTCTGCTCCAATCAGATCTCTTAAAGCTCGAGGTTATCGACAGACTGAGAACGAGACATGAGACAGAATGAGACAGAGACAGAGACATGAGACATGAGACATGAGACAGAGACTGAGAGACAGAGACATGAGACATGAGACATGAGACAGAGACTGAGACATGAGACATGAGACATGAGACATGAGACAGAGACTGAGAGACAGAGACATGAGACATGAGACAGAATGAGACAGAGACTGAGAGACAGAGACATGAGACAGAGACTGAGAGACAGAGACATGAGACATGAGACATGAGACATGAGACTGAGAGACAGAGACAGAGACATGAGACAGAATGAGACAGAGACAGAGACATGAGACATGAGACATGAGACATGAGACATGAGACAGAGACATGAGACATGAGACATGAGACAGAGACTGAGAGACAGAGACATGAGACAGAGACTGAGAGACAGAGACATGAGACATGAGACATGAGAACATAAAACTGAGACAGAGACTGAGAGACAGAGACAGAGACAGAGAAGAGTCAGTGAGACTCAAACTCAGCCGGTTTGATCAGGTTTAGTCTTTAAAATGAACCCTGACCAGGAAATAGTCGGTTCCCTACAGCTGAGTTTGATTGCAGTTTAAGGACTGTCAGTGAGACGACTCAAACCGTGTGTGTGTGTGTGTGTGTGTGTGTGTGTATTTCTCTGTGTGTGTGTGTGTGTATTTCTCTGTGTGTGTGTGTGTGTGTGTGTGTATGTCTCTGTGTGTGTGTGTGTGTGTGTGTGTGTGTAGTTCTTTAAGGTGGATGTGTACCACGCTGACGGCTCTCTGCTCAGTAAAGAGGATCTCTGCGTTCAGCTGCAGAGGATCTTCGACGCCGCTCTTGAGCCCGATCAGGAACCTGTCGGCATCATGACGTCTCAACGCCGAGACATCTGGGGCCGAGTTTACGAGGAACTCATCAGAGGTGAGGAAGAACGATGGCGGCAGCCAAACACGTCTGCTGAGGGTCAAAAATAATAACAAAAAAACCGTTTTGTTTATTTTCTGTAAAATGATGATTATTGGTGTTTTTGCTGACAGATCATTTGATTGGCTGATGTTTTTACTGTTACTTTGATTTTAACGTTTTTTTATGTTAAAAGGTTTTAACGTAAAAAGAGTTTTATTTTTTGAGAATTCAAACTTTATACCTGCTGGTCGAACATGTTCTGATCATCTTGACTCGCCTGTTTTTAGATGAAACAAACAAACAGTCGTTGCACGACATTCAGAGCAGCATCTGCACCATCTGTCTGGACGGACCGACGGCTCCTCTGGACGGAATCAGTGATCGCTGCAAATTGATGAGCTACATGATGCACGGAGATGGACACCGCTGGAATACCGCCAACCGCTGGTTCGACAAGGGACTGCAGGTCAGACAGAACAAATACAAAAACATGCCTTTCAATAAGTCAACCAACCAATCAATACATCCCTATCAATCAACCAATGATCTATTAGGATGGACTGAGACTAACAACATGAATAAATGTGGGCTGGAATCAAACCAGTGTCCTCCTGGTTAAACTGGGAGTCTCTGTCCTTCCTGTAAAATCATGTTGACTCAAGTTTCTTAAACTTCACAAACATCATTTTTGGTTTATTTTTATTTAATATTTAATTTTTACAGTTCATCGTCGGAGCGGACGGGACATGTGCGATTAATCTTTCTCATACAGTGGCGGACGGGATTGTTGCCTTGGACATGATCGATGTGATGTCTGAACACATGTAAGAGACCGAAACACAAAACAGACCGATAAACGTTTATTTCAGGGTCGTCTTAAATAATTAAACATAAAAAGGTGAAAGAAAGAGTCTGAGGAACAAAAGTGAGAATTAAAACTCATTAAAATAATATTCAAGTAAACGAGAAAAGTCTCACAAACACCGAGTGAAAAAAACATTTACTGTGGGTCTATGACAGTCTACATCTACAACAGTCTACATCTACAACAGTCTTAGTCTACAACAGTCTTAGTCTATAACAGTCTGTAACAGTCTACATCTACAACAGTCTGTAACAGTCTACATCTACAACAGTCTTAGTCTACAACAGTCTACATCTACAACAGTCTACATCTACAACAGTCTACATCTACAACAGTCTTAGTCTATAACAGTCTGTAACAGTCTAAGTCTATAACAGTCTACATCTATAACAGTCTTAGTCTATAACAGTCTAAGTCTATAACAGTCTACATCTATAACAGTCTTAGTCTATAACAGTCTAAGTCTATAACAGTCTATAACAGTTTCAGTCTATAACAGTCTACATCTATAAGAGTTTCAGTCTAGAACAGTCTACATCTATAAGAGTTTCAGTCTATAACAGTCTACATCTATAAGAGTTTCAGTCTAGAACAGTCTACAGTGCATCCAGAAAGTTCTAAAAACAGTTTTTCATTTTGTCATTATGGAGAATTTTGTGTCGAATTTTTGAGGGAAAAAGGAAATTTAATCCATTTAGGAAAAATTGAAGTGGTATAAATACTTTCTGGACACACTGTTTAACAGTCTGAGTGTATCACAGTCTATATTTATATATTTATATTATATATAATTATATTTTTGTGTTTATCTTGAATATCTTCTCACTCTAAATGTTTCAGTCTATTAACTAAAGAACTGAATATTCGGTTTTAATCGTTTGTGTCTGATTTTCTTTTTTCTTTTGTCTGAAGGAAAAAAGAAAAATTACCGTCGTCTCCAGTCGAGGATTTAGTTCTTCCCCAGAAACTTGAGTTCCGCCTCACCCCTGAGCTGAAGGGGGACATTGAGGAGGCCAAACAACACGCAGATATGTGAGTTTGTCTTTACTGCAGCGAGTGAAGCTCCTCTTTGTTTTTTCACACGTTTCAACGATGAAAATGAATCAAAGTTTATTTTTTTATTTCACTCTTTAACAAACATAATCTCAGAATGTCGCTCATGAATCTTTCTTCAAGTTCAGATTTACGTGGTGAATGAATCTGACTGCAGATCTCTGTTTTCTCGACGTCAGGCTGGTTAAAGGTCTGGATCTGAAGGACAGTGTTTTCGGGCACTTTGGGAAAAACCTCCTCAAGTCTTTGAAGATCAGTCCTGATGGTTTCGTGCAGATGGCGATACAGCTGGCCTACTTCAGGTAAGCTGAGTGTCTTTGTGATCATTGTTGGTTATTTTTTATGAGTGTCACTTAAAGGGATCTGAGGAAGTTCGGTAAGAACGTTTGTTAAGATTCTTCTGTTTTTATTCAGGACTCACCAGAAGATCCCAAACGCGATGGAGCCTGTAACTCAAAGGATCTTCAGAGGAGGGCGTTTAGGAGTCATCAGCGCCACCTCGAGTGCATCTGCCGCCTTCGTTAAAGCTTTTGACAACCCTGAAGTCCAGGTGTGACTCGAGACGTTTATCAAACATGTTCTGATGACAGATATTGATCCCAGCCTCATAAATCCTTAGAATGATGGTCCTCGGTAAAAACTAACCCTTTTTCTCTGTAGACTTTGATCAAATTCATCGTTATTAAAAAGTGCCTCCTATCGATCTTGACAAATATGTAAATATCCTGTTTTATTGATCTTTTCTCAAACCCTGTCGGCTCATTAACATCGATCCCTTCACTCCAAAATAAAGTCTGAATTCATTTTATTTTGTAAACGTTAAAAAGTTTGACCCTAAAAAGATCGAACCGAACCGTTCTGATAAAAACGTCTCGGGGGACCTGAGCGTTGGCGATGACCTCGGTGATGGTCATTCTGATTCGCCACGCTCACGTCCAAATTTCATTAAACTGACCCCAAAATCTTAAAGTATAAACTGGACTCAGAAAACATCAGACTGTTATAATGATGACTTTATTAGATCAATGTGATTGATCTGTAATAGAAATGATCAAATTTGAAGTAAAAGACGTTTTTCTCTCCGGGGTCATTTTTCTGAGTCTTTTTTCATCTCAGAGGATTTCTTTGAAAGAGCCTCTAAATTTAAACAATCTTTGATTGATTGATTTATTGATCACAATGATAAAGTCTGTAAATGTAATTACGATAAATCTCAATTTCATTTTGTTCCAACAGAACTCCGAAAAAATGGATCTGCTGCGGAGAGCTCTGAAACAAGTTTACACCGACGTTATCAGTGTGAGTACCGAGAGTAAAGTTCTGAGGAGGAACTAAGAACAGGTCCAAAGTTCTGATAGAGGAACTAAGAACAGGTCCAAAGTTCTGAGGAGGAACTAGAACAGGTCAAAGTTCTGATAGAGGAACTAAGAACAGGTCCAAAGTTCTGAGGAGGAACTAAGAACAGGTCAAAGTTCTGAGGAGGAACTAAGAACAGGTCCAAAGTTCTGATAGAGGAACTAAGAACAGGTCCAAAGTTCTGATAGAGGAACTAAGAACAGGTCCAAAGTTCTGATAGAGGAACTAAGAACAGGTCCAAAGTTCTGAAGAGGAACTAAGAACAGGTCCAAAGTTCTGAGAGAACTAAGAACAGGTCCAAGTTCTGATAGAGAACTAAGAACAGGTCCAAAGTTCTGATAGAGGAACTAAGAACAGGTCCAAAGTTCTGATAGAGGAACTAAGAACAGGTCCAAAGTTCTGAGGAGGAACTAAGAACAGGTCCAAAGTTCTGATAGAGGAACTAAGAACAGGTCCAAAGTTCTGAGGAGGAACTAAGAACAGGTCCAAAGTTCTGATAGAGGAACTAAGAACAGGTCCAAAGTTCTGATAGAGGAACTAAGAACAGGTCCCCCCCCCCCCCAGGCAGCCAATCAGAGCGTCAGATTGTCCCTCATAGATTCCTTAAAGGCTGAATTCTGAGAGTGAAAACGAGCTGAACGGATGATTTTTGATTCTTCCTTTAGAGTCTCGGCGGACAGGTCGTAGACGGACACCTGATTGGACTGGAGATGGAGGCGGTCAGGGAGAATATTCCAACTCCTCAAGTCTTCACAGACGATTCGTATGAAAGAGCGTTCACCTTTCAGATCATAGCTGGTCAGGTAAAGACAACAACAATGTGTAGTTCTCAAGTCTGAACATGAAATGGGGTCAAAAGGTGTCAAAGTCGTGACTGGAGGACCAGACCTGGACCTGGTCTCCTGTTCCTGGTACTCAGAGCCTCTGCAGACTCAAACTCCTTATTTAATGTTCGTTCATCTGCTGAATAAATGAGATTAGGGTTCGAATATCATGAACAAACAGTTCACAGTTCACTTTTGCTCATATTAAAGACTGAATCTAAGTTATTGATCGTTTCTGTCTGATCGCAGTAGCTGATTGATTGGGATGCTGCTGATGTTTAAGGTCATTGTTGAGGAAACGTTTTTACACGTTCAGCTTTATGATTGGAGGAGAAAGTTCACCTGAGCTGACGAGTCTGAAAACAGATAATGAAGCTTTTTCTCAGTCTTACAATCATGATTTCCTCTTTTCTTACTTTGAAGGTAACGACCAGGAACGGGATTATTTCATGTTCATCTCCTGAAGATGTGGGACTCTACGATGTAAACTACGGCATCTTTAATGATCACATCGAGATTTTAGTGTCCTGTTTTGATTATTCAGAGACCAACAGAGAAAAGGACTCCACGAAGATGATCGAGGCCATGGAGGGAGCATTACTGGATATAAGGAAGTTGTTTGAACAAAATTAAAGAGCCTAACTCTACAACGTTCTGTGAAGAACACCGATGTCTTCTGTTTGTCTGATTTCCCATAAAAATATCAAATACTCACGGGCTTGATCCGAAACACTTGACAAACGCATCAGCAGCTGCAAAAGTCGAAGTGGAAACCTGCAGATCAGTTTGTAAAGTTTGTTTTCTGCTAACGTCCGTCTTTCAGTGCCGGCTCCATAAATGTGTAACTTTGTGTGTCGTCGAGTTACACTGACTCAGGTTTATGAAGCTGCGGTTCTTTATTTCATTTGCACTGACTCTATGATCCTGTTGGCTTTACTGGGAGAGTTTCTGACCATCACCAGTATAACCGAACTGGACTCTTGTTCAGCCTGAGTGTGTTTGTATTCTTCATCTGTGTTCGTGTGTGTCGGTGTTGTAGCGATTTTAAATTCAAAATAAATGTCGAAAATTAATCAAATTAAATTATGACATTTATGCACTCGTTGAAGGGGCACCACCCACCTTTCTGGTGGGAAAAAGGACGAAACAAAGTTCGATTGAGTAATTAAACGTTGGATCAGTCTTACACAGATTTAAATCAGTCTCTCATCTGAGGCCGGAATTCTTCATTCAGGGACTACTTTCTGAAAGACCACTAAGACGACAACTTAGAATTAAATGGACAATTTATTAACAAGCTATATGATAACAAAACGTCGATAAATGATGATCAAATAATGAGCAAATCAAAGCACATCTAATGAATAAACGAAGGAATGGTTTAAGTTAAACCTAAGACTGGAGGTTAATAATAGTGAGTGAATAAGGGGAAATTTAACCTACGTTAACGGAGTTACGAGGGTAAATAAAAGGAATTTGGAGAACTAAACTATAACTTATAAGAGTAAGCTACTGAACGGTTGACAGCATCACCCAGTTCTCATCACAGCAGTTTAGAGGATTTAGCCTACTTTGGACGTCGGTTCTCAGCGGCACTCTTGGAATGGATCAGCTGAAGTTCTGTGGCTACCGGACCGGATACTGAAGGTTCGGCGGGGAATTCTTCCGCCGTGTCTGGATCTCAGCTTCAGGACCGTGTCAGCGCCGTTAGATACTTCGGATCTCTGGGCCTCTCGGAACCGGGTGGCAAAGCAGCTTGGCAGATGATGCTGGTCGGCGTTCAGGACTTGCTTGGTTGCAGATTAATTCGCGCCAATAACTTAAGAAAATAATTTCGCTGGCCAGCCGATATTATCTTCAGGAGTCACTTTAGCGAACAAAAATAAAAAGACTTAGACTGAGGTTCTCTTATGCGCGCAGCTTGTTACTGAGGCTCTAAAGGACTTGGGAATGCTTTCATCCAAGTTTAGAATAAAAATCTGAGCTTAAGGCACTTAATAACACGCGGGGAAAAATTGCGAACGATAGACGAAGACAAAAGAAAACTAGACGAAGACAAAAACGGAAGAGACAAAAACTGAAGAGAAGACAAAACTGAAAAGAAGACAAAACTGAAGACCGAGCAAAGACTCCCGGGCTCTTTTAAACCATCCCGTGTGGGCGTGAGCCAAGAGGAAAGTTACAGCCAATGCTGTAACCCGATGCAGCACATCGACTGGCAGCGAATTTAACTCAACTTGATATTAAAAGCGAGCTAGATCTAATTTACTCACTCACTATGATTAAACTGTTTGTAACATCACATACGATCACATTTCACTTCATTGTTTCTTATGAGCAGACGCATTAAAGCATGACATTGAAAACAGTAAACTTTGATCAGCCGTCTTCTTGACACTAACAGAGGATTAACGACTTTTAAAAGTTAGAGAGGGACAGAAAACCAATTATCTATTCGAACAGAAACACCATCCAGCATAAGTAACACATACGTTATAATATTTGAGAACATTATAACCTTGTCAATCAAGCTTCCTAGATGATTAATATATATTTTTGTGTGAGGTAGATAAAACATAGTATGGATACATTCCGAAACTCTTAACTTGAGTCTAAACGAGTTTCACGTTACTACTTCTAAACTACTAGCCTATCTTGGGAATACCATTTACTAAGCTACGAGGTGTATAACAAAAGGAAAGAAATACACGTGATTAGATTCCTGCCATTTGGCTCTGATCAAACCATATTCAGGCATCACCACTAGGAGGAGCTCTTGGTCCATGGAAAACCTGGAATAAATTTGTGAAGTTAACAGTTTGGCTTGTGGATATGTTACAGAATTGGGAAAAAGACCATTTCATTAAGAATGTGGTGTACAGACAGAAAATCCTGGTGAAGTGTCCATTAAACAAGAAGTTAAACCATTTTCAGGCATCCTCTTCCTTCTGCTCTGCAAAGAAAGCCAAGGAATTTATGGCAGGTATCTGGTTTTTCAGATTTGGCGCCAACCGGCCTGTTTTCCCCCCTAGGTCATTGGGTTAATCCTGAAGTGTCAATTCTGATCTTTCCCAACCAGGGTGAGAGACTCCGTGTTTATGGGTCTGTGTGGTTGATAAGCAACTTGTCCTTTTTGGGAAGCGTTAAAGATTCACTATCACCTCCCAAATGGTTGCCTGGGTCGTAAATGGGAACTTGGTGTGCAAACCGTTACTCCCCCATTTCCTGTCCAAACCAGAGGAGCCTGCATTCCTTTGAGGGGTGAATTCAAGGTGGATAGCAGAAAGCAGTTGTCTCATTACAGTGTAAAGGTAAGAGGACAGGTGTGTTGGTTTAATGCAACATTCACAGCAGTTTAAGTTTGACACACGCGGCAGTGCTTCGTTAATGTTAATTAACAAGTTCCTCTGATGTCGGCCATGTTGGAACTGCTCCTACACATTCACCATTTCACCACTAGGCGCTGCTGTTTATAAAGCTAAGGGACTGGAGATGAATATGTGTCAATGCCTCTAATGTACCTCCTGTTCATGATTGTTTAGAGAAAGTGTCTGTTTGTGACGATAGTTTCAGTATTTAAGTTAATTTGAATAAGTTTGTTTATATCCACATTCAACTGCTTGTTTTTTGTTCATATTTGTCTTAATACGCTCCCACACAGTAATATTAGTCCTGTGTATAACCAGAAAATAAAGTGTGGAAATGTAACCCTGGGTCCTGTCGTCTACACTTCCAAGATAAGAAGTTGTGAGGGGGGTAAGAGTCAGCGAAGTGTTAAATAAAGGTTTTCTTCTATTTGTGTATTTCACTTTACAAACACGACCGTTTGGAACTTATTTTAAAAATTTTTTTCAACATACTGTACTATGACTTTTTAATCATACAGAACACAGATTTTTTTAACCATATGATACTATGATATTTTTTACAGACTAAATTATAACAATTTTTTTTATCATACTTTGACTTTTAAAATCACACTGTATTTATCATATTATACCATGACATTTATTTTATCATACTGTACCATGACATTTTTTACATACTTAAATATGACTTTTTTTTTTCATACTATACTTTGACATTTTGATCATTTTATCCTATGACAAGTTTTGTTCATACTATACAAAATTGTCAGGCTGGGGCCACTGTGGCCTGTATCAGAAATGGACAAGAAGCTGAAGACAGAGATCTGATAAGAGTCTTCAGTGACTGGAGTCAGAATAACTGCCTCCTCCTCAACTCCTCAAAGACAAAGGAGATGGTCATAGACTTCTGTAGATCCAAACCTCCTCTTCAGCCAGTGAACACCTGTGGAGTGGACATCCAAGTGGTGACATCATATAAATATCCAGGTGTACATCTGGATAATAAGTTGGACTGGTCTAAGAATATCGACTTCATCTACAGAAAGGGGCAGAGCCGCCTCTTTAGCCTGAGAAGACTCCGATCATAGACATCTGTAGTTAGATGCTGCAGATGTTTGATCAGTCTGTGGTGTAGATCTACAGTGTTCTGTTCTACGCTGCAGTCTGCTGGGGAGGAAGTATCAAACACAAAGATGGAGACGTCTGAACAAACTGGTGAAAAAGGCTGGCTCTGTGGTAGGACTCCAGCTGGACTCAGTGGAGGATGTGGTGGAGAGATCTACACTGAAATTTTCGTCATAGTATACTATGTTGTTTTTTTTCAGGCTAAAATATGACATTTTTAACATCCTTTACCTCTTTTTTTTTGCTGAGTCAATACTATGGCATGTTTTTTCATCTTAAAAATGGAATTTTATTTTGACTGTAAAATTTGAAATTTTCGTCATTGTATACTATGTCGTTTTTTTTTCCAGGCTAAGATATGATATTTTTAACATCCTTATCTATGTCATTTAGATCAGACAATACCATGGCAAGTTTTTTCATCTTAAAAATGGAATTTTATTTTGACTGTAAAATATGAAATTTTTGTCATAGTATACTATGTCGTTTTTTTTCAGGCTAAAATACGTTTTTTTTTTTCTCAGGCTAAAATATGATATTTTTAACATCCTTTGTGATGTCATTTAGATCAGACAATACTATGGCATGTTTTTTCATTTTAAAAAAGGAATTTTATTTTCACACTAAAATCTGAAATTTTCGTCATAGTATACTATGTCGTTTTTTTTCAGGCTAAAATATGTTTTTTTTTTCAGGCTTTTTTTTCAGACCGCAGCAAACTGGCAGCCTGCAGATCTTTTACACGCACCAATACTACATTTCCCACAATGCAACGGTGACGCACCAAGAAGTAGGCTGCTTCATTTCAATATTTAAATCTAACCCTAACCCTAACTCCTCCCTCTAACCCAACCCCTACCTCTAACCCTAACCCTCCCTCTAACCCTAACCCTAAGTCTAACCCAAACCCTAACCCCTAACCCTAGCCACTAACCCTAGCCCTAACCCTAACCCTAGCCACTAACCCTAGCCCTAACCCTAACCCTAGCCCTAACCCTCCCTCTAACCCTAACCCTAAATCTAACCCAAACCCTAACCCCTAACCCTAGCCACTAACCCTAACCCTAGCCCAAACCCTAGCCCTAATCCTAACCCTAGCCCTAGCCCTAACGCTAACCCTAGCCCTAGCCCTAACCCTAAACCTAACCCTAGCCCCAACCCTAGCCCTAACCCCAGCCCCAACCCTTAAGCTAACCCTAGCCCCAACCCTAAACCTAGCCCTAACCCTAGCCCTAACCCTAACCTTAACCCTAACCCTAGCCCTAACCCTAACCCTAACCCTAACCTTAGCCCTAACCCTAACCCTAGCCGTAACCCTAACCCTAACCCTAGCCCTAACACTAACCCTAGCCCTAACACTAACCCTAACCCTAGCCCTAACCCTAACCCTAACCCTAACCCCCTAACCCTAACGCTAACCCTAACCCTAGCCCTAACCCTAACCCTAACCCTAACCCTAAACCTAGCCCTGGGCCTAACCCTAACCCTAACCCTAACCCTAGCCCTAACCCTAACCCTAACCCTAGCCGTAACCCTAACCCTAACCATATAACCCCTAACTCGAAGGGTTAGGGGTTATATGGTTAGGGAAAATAATCCCGTCTCCCCTAAATTCTCCCCTAAATTCCCCCTAAATTCCCCTAACCATATAACCCCTAACTCGAAGGGTTAGGGGTTATATGGTTAGGGTTAGGGTTTGATGGAAGGATGGAAGGAACTAGGGTTAGGGTTAGGGTTAGGGTTAGGGTTAGGGGGTTAGGGTTAGGGTTAGGTTTATGGATATAGGGGGACTGTCTCCTAGAATAGGAGACAGGAGGTGCACGGTCCATCCCCCTGTTCCCCGTCCCCCACGACCCCGTTTGGTACTGCTGATAAGTGCGATACGGACGTTGACCACGCCTTCTCCCGTATCGCACTTCAGTCCATTGTTCTTGGTCGTAAGTCATGATTGTTGTTTTAACCTTTTTAATTATTTATTGTTATTTATTAATGTGGTGTATCTATGAAACTATTTATTTATTTATTGGTCTGTCTATTGACCTTTTTATTCCAATCAAGGTATTTAAAACAAAAACTGTATCAAATGAATTGTTCTTTATTTTTTTATGCTTTTTTTGTGTTTTGTGAAATAAAAATGAAATAAAAGTGAGAAAACTAAATAAAATGTGTATGAAAATGAAGAATCGAAGATAAAGGGGTGAAAAGAGTGCCCAGTCGCGACGTTTCGACCCGCTTGGGTCTTCTTCAGGCTATGGGCACAGAAAGGGATATGTCTGGACTTGTCTGAGTGTGTGTATGAGATGTTTTCTCTTCCGGAGACATATGTGAAGTGGGAGAAGTGGGCTGTGTGTGCGTGTGTTATTTATAGGGGCGTGGGAGAGAGCAGAGCCAGACGGGGCCCCCGGCCGTCTGGGTGCAGTTAACCCCATAAATGCCAACTGAAATTAGATGACATGAATGTTAATGGCCAATTGGATTTTTTTACCCTCTTTTAACAGATTAATTTTAATGAATCATAATTGTAATGCCCAATTAGAATTTTTTATGCTCTTTTTAACTTATTTAATTTAATGAATTGTAATTGTAATGCCCAATTTTAACGTTTGCCCATTAGAATTGTAATGAAATTGATTTTTTAAAGACAGATGTAATTATGTTAGCCCCTAATTCCCTTTTTAAATTTTAGATGAGATATATATTTGTATTATTTATGGTTTTAATGTCTAATAATCCATAATGGATTAAAAAGAATTAATTAAAATAAATTATTAGTTTTTAGAGGTTAGGGTTAGGGGTCAGGGCTAGGGTTAGAGAGGTTAGGGTTAGATTTGATCCCCGAGGGTTAGGGTTAGGGTTAGGGTTAGGGTTAGGGTTAGGGTTAGGGTTAGGGTTTAGGGTTAGGGTTAGGGTTAGGGTTAGGGTTAGGGTTAGGGTTAGGGTTAGGGGTTAGGGTTAGGGTTAGGGTTAGGGTTAGGGTTAGGGTTAGGGTTAGGGGTTAGGGTTAGGGTTAGGGTTAGGGTTAGGGTTAGGGTTAGGGTTAGGGTTAGGGTTAGGGGGTTAGGGTTAGGGTTAGGGTTAGGGTTAGGGTTAGGGTTAGGGTTAGGGGTTAGGGTTAGGGTTAGGGTTAGGGGGTTAGGGTTAGGGTTAGGGTTAGGGTTAGGGTTAGGGTTAGGGTTAGGGGGTTAGGGTTAGGGTTAGGGTTAGGGTTAGGGTTAGGGTTAGGGTTAGGGTTAGGGGTTAGGGTTAGGGTTAGGGTTAGGGTTAGGGTTAGGGTTAGGGATAGGGTTAGGGTTAGGGTTAGGGTTAGGGTTAGGGTTAGGGTTAGGGGTTAGGGTTAGGGTTAGGGTTAGGGTTAGGGTTAGGGTTAGGGGTTAGGGTTAGGGTTAGGGTTAGGGTTAGGGATAGGGTTAGGGTTAGGGTTAGGGTTAGGGTTAGGGTTAGGGGTTAGGGTTAGGGTTAGGGTTAGGGTTAGGGTTAGGGGGTTAGGGGGTTAGGGTTAGGGTTAGGGTTAGGGTTAGGGTTAGGGTTAGGGTTAGGGGTTAGGGTTAGGGTTAGGGTTAGGGTTAGGGTTAGGGTTTAGGGTTAGGGTTAGGGTTAGGGTTAGGGTTAGGGGTTAGGGTTAGGGTTAGGGTTAGGGTTAGGGTTAGGGTTAGGGTTAGGGTTAGGGTTAGGGTTAGGGTTAGGGGTTAGGGTTAGGGTTAGGGTTAGGGTTAGGGTTAGGGGTTAGGGTTAGGGTTAGGGTTAGGGTTAGGGTTAGGGTTAGGGGTTAGGGTTAGGGTTAGGGTTAGGGTTAGGGTTAGGGTTAGGGGTTAGGGTTAGGGTTAGGGTTAGGGGTTAGGGTTAGGGTTAGGGTTAGGTTGGGGAAATAATCCCGTCTCCCCTAAATTGCCCTACTTGGGTCGGCGGGGAGCGGGGAATGCACGGGCCTACGCCCCGTCGGACACGCTCCCCAGGTCCCGAAAGGCTGGCGGCTACTTCCGCCAGCTGAACCGTATTTGGTCTGGTGTGTATTAATTTGTAATGAAGTTCATGTAGTCCTATTTGACTTACTCACACATACACAATTCATACATGATCTATATTTGATCTATGTATCCCTACAATGTGCCTGCTGCGTCGACGTTTCGACCTAATTTGGTCTTCTTCAGGACTGGGCACATGTAACAGCTAAGGCTGCTGGGCCCCAATTCATAGGGGTGGACCAGCCAGCAGCCAGAAAGAAATGAAAAGCCCTACCAACTTGTCTCCCTTTTATATCCCCTCCGCCAAAAATTAGACTGAATTTACTTGTATTTAAGTTATTTTCTACTCTATTTAGTTTTTGAAATCTTAACCCTTTCTGCACCGCTTGTGCTTTAAATCCATATTAATTATGTTTATTCACATATTTGTGCTTTTAATAAACAAATTAATAGGTATTTTTGATCCCAATATTAGGGTTAGGGTCCTGCTTGACCTTTGACCTCTGTGGCCTGCTTGGCCGTTGGTCATTAAGTTGCCTCTAATGGTTAGGGTTAGGGCGAGTCCCAGGTTAGGGTTAGAATCCCATACTAGGGTTAGGGTTAGGGTTAGGGTTAGATTCCCAGGTTGGGGTTAGTGCTGGGGTTAGGGTTAGGGGTCAGCGCTATGGTTAGGGTTAGGGTGAGCGCCATGGTTAGGGTTAGGGCTAGATGCCAGGCTGGGGTTATCATCAGCAGCCGCCCGGACTGCGAGTCGGCTGATGTTTTGCAGGTCGGGACCCAGGAAACGCGGCGACAGTGGACGTGGCACTGGCTGGATAGGTTGGGGAAATAATCCCGTCTCCCCTAAATTGCCCTACTTGGGTCGGCGGGGAGCGGGGAATGCACGGGCCTACGCCCCGTCGGACACGCTCCCCAGGTCCCGAAAGGCTGGCGGCTACTTCCGCCAGCTGAACCGTATTTGGTCTGGTGTGTATTAATTTGTAATGAAGTTCATGTAGTCCTATTTGACTTACTCACACATACACAATTCATACATGATCTATATTTGATCTATGTATCCCTACAATGTGCCTGCTGCGTCGACGTTTCGACCTAATTTGGTCTTCTTCAGGACTGGGCACATGTAACAGCTAAGGCTGCTGGGCCCCAATTCATAGGGGTGGACCAGCCAGCAGCCAGAAAGAAATGAAAAGCCCTACCAACTTGTCTCCCTTTTATATCCCCTCCGCCAAAAATTAGACTGAATTTACTTGTATTTAAGTTATTTTCTACTCTATTTAGTTTTTGAAATCTTAACCCTTTCTGCACCGCTTGTGCTTTAAATCCATATTAATTATGTTTATTCACATATTTGTGCTTTTAATAAACAAATTAATAGGTATTTTTGATCCCAATATTAGGGTTAGGGTCCTGCTTGACCTTTGACCTCTGTGGCCTGCTTGGCCGTTGGTCATTAAGTTGCCTCTAATGGTTAGGGTTAGGGCGAGTCCCAGGTTAGGGTTAGAATCCCATACTAGGGTTAGGGTTAGGGTTAGGGTTAGATTCCCAGGTTGGGGTTAGTGCTGGGGTTAGGGTTAGGGGTCAGCGCTATGGTTAGGGTTAGGGTGAGCGCCATGGTTAGGGTTAGGGCTAGATGCCAGGCTGGGGTTATCATCAGCAGCCGCCCGGACTGCGAGTCGGCTGATTTTTTGCAGGTCGGGACCCAGGAAACGCGGCGACAGTGGACGTGGCACTGGCTGGATAGGTTGGGGAAATAATCCCGTCTCCCCTAAATTGCCCTACTTGGGTCGGCGGGGAGCGGGGAATGCACGGGCCTACGCCCCGTCGGACACGCTCCCCAGGTCCCGAAAGGCTGGCGGCTACTTCCGCCAGCTGAACCGTATTTGGTCTGGTGTGTATTAATTTGTAATGAAGTTCATGTAGTCCTATTTGACTTACTCACACATACACAATTCATACATGATCTATATTTGATCTATGTATCCCTACAATGTGCCTGCTGCGTCGACGTTTCGACCTAATTTGGTCTTCTTCAGGACTGGGCACATGTAACAGCTAAGGCTGCTGGGCCCCAATTCATAGGGGTGGACCAGCCAGCAGCCAGAAAGAAATGAAAAGCCCTACCAACTTGTCTCCCTTTTATATCCCCTCCGCCAAAAATTAGACTGAATTTACTTGTATTTAAGTTATTTTCTACTCTATTTAGTTTTTGAAATCTTAACCCTTTCTGCACCGCTTGTGCTTTAAATCCATATTAATTATGTTTATTCACATATTTGTGCTTTTAATAAACAAATTAATAGGTATTTTTGATCCCAATATTAGGGTTAGGGTCCTGCTTGACCTTTGACCTCTGTGGCCTGCTTGGCCGTTGGTCATTAAGTTGCCTCTAATGGTTAGGGTTAGGGCGAGTCCCAGGTTAGGGTTAGAATCCCATACTAGGGTTAGGGTTAGGGTTAGGGTTAGATTCCCAGGTTGGGGTTAGTGCTGGGGTTAGGGTTAGGGGTCAGCGCTATGGTTAGGGTTAGGGTGAGCGCCATGGTTAGGGTTAGGGCTAGATGCCAGGCTGGGGTTATCATCAGCAGCCGCCCGGACTGCGAGTCGGCTGATTTTTTGCAGGTCGGGACCCAGGAAACGCGGCGACAGTGGACGTGGCACTGGCTGGATAGGTTGGGGAAATAATCCCGTCTCCCCTAAATTGCCCTACTTGGGTCGGCGGGGAGCGGGGAATGCACGGGCCTACGCCCCGTCGGACACGCTCCCCAGGTCCCGAAAGGCTGGCGGCTACTTCCGCCAGCTGAACCGTATTTGGTCTGGTGTGTATTAATTTGTAATGAAGTTCATGTAGTCCTATTTGACTTACTCACACATACACAATTCATACATGATCTATATTTGATCTATGTATCCCTACAATGTGCCTGCTGCGTCGACGTTTCGACCTAATTTGGTCTTCTTCAGGACTGGGCACATGTAACAGCTAAGGCTGCTGGGCCCCAATTCATAGGGGTGGACCAGCCAGCAGCCAGAAAGAAATGAAAAGCCCTACCAACTTGTCTCCCTTTTATATCCCCTCCGCCAAAAATTAGACTGAATTTACTTGTATTTAAGTTATTTTCTACTCTATTTAGTTTTTGAAATCTTAACCCTTTCTGCACCGCTTGTGCTTTAAATCCATATTAATTATGTTTATTCACATATTTGTGCTTTTAATAAACAAATTAATAGGTATTTTTGATCCCAATATTAGGGTTAGGGTCCTGCTTGACCTTTGACCTCTGTGGCCTGCTTGGCCGTTGGTCATTAAGTTGCCTCTAATGGTTAGGGTTAGGGCGAGTCCCAGGTTAGGGTTAGAATCCCATACTAGGGTTAGGGTTAGGGTTAGGGTTAGATTCCCAGGTTGGGGTTAGTGCTGGGGTTAGGGTTAGGGGTCAGCGCTATGGTTAGGGTTAGGGTGAGCGCCATGGTTAGGGTTAGGGCTAGATGCCAGGCTGGGGTTATCATCAGCAGCCGCCCGGACTGCGAGTCGGCTGATTTTTTGCAGGTCGGGACCCAGGAAACGCGGCGACAGTGGACGTGGCACTGGCTGGATAGGTTGGGGAAATAATCCCGTCTCCCCTAAATTGCCCTACTTGGGTCGGCGGGGAGCGGGGAATGCACGGGCCTACGCCCCGTCGGACACGCTCCCCAGGTCCCGAAAGGCTGGCGGCTACTTCCGCCAGCTGAACCGTATTTGGTCTGGTGTGTATTAATTTGTAATGAAGTTCATGTAGTCCTATTTGACTTACTCACACATACACAATTCATACATGATCTATATTTGATCTATGTATCCCTACAATGTGCCTGCTGCGTCGACGTTTCGACCTAATTTGGTCTTCTTCAGGACTGGGCACATGTAACAGCTAAGGCTGCTGGGCCCCAATTCATAGGGGTGGACCAGCCAGCAGCCAGAAAGAAATGAAAAGCCCTACCAACTTGTCTCCCTTTTATATCCCCTCCGCCAAAAATTAGACTGAATTTACTTGTATTTAAGTTATTTTCTACTCTATTTAGTTTTTGAAATCTTAACCCTTTCTGCACCGCTTGTGCTTTAAATCCATATTAATTATGTTTATTCACATATTTGTGCTTTTAATAAACAAATTAATAGGTATTTTTGATCCCAATATTAGGGTTAGGGTCCTGCTTGACCTTTGACCTCTGTGGCCTGCTTGGCCGTTGGTCATTAAGTTGCCTCTAATGGTTAGGGTTAGGGCGAGTCCCAGGTTAGGGTTAGAATCCCATACTAGGGTTAGGGTTAGGGTTAGGGTTAGATTCCCAGGTTGGGGTTAGTGCTGGGGTTAGGGTTAGGGGTCAGCGCTATGGTTAGGGTTAGGGTGAGCGCCATGGTTAGGGTTAGGGCTAGATGCCAGGCTGGGGTTATCATCAGCAGCCGCCCGGACTGCGAGTCGGCTGATTTTTTGCAGGTCGGGACCCAGGAAACGCGGCGACAGTGGACGTGGCACTGGCTGGATAGGTTGGGGAAATAATCCCGTCTCCCCTAAATTGCCCTACTTGGGTCGGCGGGGAGCGGGGAATGCACGGGCCTACGCCCCGTCGGACACGCTCCCCAGGTCCCGAAAGGCTGGCGGCTACTTCCGCCAGCTGAACCGTATTTGGTCTGGTGTGTATTAATTTGTAATGAAGTTCATGTAGTCCTATTTGACTTACTCACACATACACAATTCATACATGATCTATATTTGATCTATGTATCCCTACAATGTGCCTGCTGCGTCGACGTTTCGACCTAATTTGGTCTTCTTCAGGACTGGGCACATGTAACAGCTAAGGCTGCTGGGCCCCAATTCATAGGGGTGGACCAGCCAGCAGCCAGAAAGAAATGAAAAGCCCTACCAACTTGTCTCCCTTTTATATCCCCTCCGCCAAAAATTAGACTGAATTTACTTGTATTTAAGTTATTTTCTACTCTATTTAGTTTTTGAAATCTTAACCCTTTCTGCACCGCTTGTGCTTTAAATCCATATTAATTATGTTTATTCACATATTTGTGCTTTTAATAAACAAATTAATAGGTATTTTTGATCCCAATATTAGGGTTAGGGTCCTGCTTGACCTTTGACCTCTGTGGCCTGCTTGGCCGTTGGTCATTAAGTTGCCTCTAATGGTTAGGGTTAGGGCGAGTCCCAGGTTAGGGTTAGAATCCCATACTAGGGTTAGGGTTAGGGTTAGGGTTAGATTCCCAGGTTGGGGTTAGTGCTGGGGTTAGGGTTAGGGGTCAGCGCTATGGTTAGGGTTAGGGTGAGCGCCATGGTTAGGGTTAGGGCTAGATGCCAGGCTGGGGTTATCATCAGCAGCCGCCCGGACTGCGAGTCGGCTGATTTTTTGCAGGTCGGGACCCAGGAAACGCGGCGACAGTGGACGTGGCACTGGCTGGATAGGTTGGGGAAATAATCCCGTCTCCCCTAAATTGCCCTACTTGGGTCGGCGGGGAGCGGGGAATGCACGGGCCTACGCCCCGTCGGACACGCTCCCCAGGTCCCGAAAGGCTGGCGGCTACTTCCGCCAGCTGAACCGTATTTGGTCTGGTGTGTATTAATTTGTAATGAAGTTCATGTAGTCCTATTTGACTTACTCACACATACACAATTCATACATGATCTATATTTGATCTATGTATCCCTACAATGTGCCTGCTGCGTCGACGTTTCGACCTAATTTGGTCTTCTTCAGGACTGGGCACATGTAACAGCTAAGGCTGCTGGGCCCCAATTCATAGGGGTGGACCAGCCAGCAGCCAGAAAGAAATGAAAAGCCCTACCAACTTGTCTCCCTTTTATATCCCCTCCGCCAAAAATTAGACTGAATTTACTTGTATTTAAGTTATTTTCTACTCTATTTAGTTTTTGAAATCTTAACCCTTTCTGCACCGCTTGTGCTTTAAATCCATATTAATTATGTTTATTCACATATTTGTGCTTTTAATAAACAAATTAATAGGTATTTTTGATCCCAATATTAGGGTTAGGGTCCTGCTTGACCTTTGACCTCTGTGGCCTGCTTGGCCGTTGGTCATTAAGTTGCCTCTAATGGTTAGGGTTAGGGCGAGTCCCAGGTTAGGGTTAGAATCCCATACTAGGGTTAGGGTTAGGGTTAGGGTTAGATTCCCAGGTTGGGGTTAGTGCTGGGGTTAGGGTTAGGGGTCAGCGCTATGGTTAGGGTTAGGGTGAGCGCCATGGTTAGGGTTAGGGCTAGATGCCAGGCTGGGGTTATCATCAGCAGCCGCCCGGACTGCGAGTCGGCTGATTTTTTGCAGGTCGGGACCCAGGAAACGCGGCGACAGTGGACGTGGCACTGGCTGGATAGGTTGGGGAAATAATCCCGTCTCCCCTAAATTGCCCTACTTGGGTCGGCGGGGAGCGGGGAATGCACGGGCCTACGCCCCGTCGGACACGCTCCCCAGGTCCCGAAAGGCTGGCGGCTACTTCCGCCAGCTGAACCGTATTTGGTCTGGTGTGTATTAATTTGTAATGAAGTTCATGTAGTCCTATTTGACTTACTCACACATACACAATTCATACATGATCTATATTTGATCTATGTATCCCTACAATGTGCCTGCTGCGTCGACGTTTCGACCTAATTTGGTCTTCTTCAGGACTGGGCACATGTAACAGCTAAGGCTGCTGGGCCCCAATTCATAGGGGTGGACCAGCCAGCAGCCAGAAAGAAATGAAAAGCCCTACCAACTTGTCTCCCTTTTATATCCCCTCCGCCAAAAATTAGACTGAATTTACTTGTATTTAAGTTATTTTCTACTCTATTTAGTTTTTGAAATCTTAACCCTTTCTGCACCGCTTGTGCTTTAAATCCATATTAATTATGTTTATTCACATATTTGTGCTTTTAATAAACAAATTAATAGGTATTTTTGATCCCAATATTAGGGTTAGGGTCCTGCTTGACCTTTGACCTCTGTGGCCTGCTTGGCCGTTGGTCATTAAGTTGCCTCTAATGGTTAGGGTTAGGGCGAGTCCCAGGTTAGGGTTAGAATCCCATACTAGGGTTAGGGTTAGGGTTAGGGTTAGATTCCCAGGTTGGGGTTAGTGCTGGGGTTAGGGTTAGGGGTCAGCGCTATGGTTAGGGTTAGGGTGAGCGCCATGGTTAGGGTTAGGGCTAGATGCCAGGCTGGGGTTATCATCAGCAGCCGCCCGGACTGCGAGTCGGCTGATTTTTTGCAGGTCGGGACCCAGGAAACGCGGCGACAGTGGACGTGGCACTGGCTGGATAGGTTGGGGAAATAATCCCGTCTCCCCTAAATTGCCCTACTTGGGTCGGCGGGGAGCGGGGAATGCACGGGCCTACGCCCCGTCGGACACGCTCCCCAGGTCCCGAAAGGCTGGCGGCTACTTCCGCCAGCTGAACCGTATTTGGTCTGGTGTGTATTAATTTGTAATGAAGTTCATGTAGTCCTATTTGACTTACTCACACATACACAATTCATACATGATCTATATTTGATCTATGTATCCCTACAATGTGCCTGCTGCGTCGACGTTTCGACCTAATTTGGTCTTCTTCAGGACTGGGCACATGTAACAGCTAAGGCTGCTGGGCCCCAATTCATAGGGGTGGACCAGCCAGCAGCCAGAAAGAAATGAAAAGCCCTACCAACTTGTCTCCCTTTTATATCCCCTCCGCCAAAAATTAGACTGAATTTACTTGTATTTAAGTTATTTTCTACTCTATTTAGTTTTTGAAATCTTAACCCTTTCTGCACCGCTTGTGCTTTAAATCCATATTAATTATGTTTATTCACATATTTGTGCTTTTAATAAACAAATTAATAGGTATTTTTGATCCCAATATTAGGGTTAGGGTCCTGCTTGACCTTTGACCTCTGTGGCCTGCTTGGCCGTTGGTCATTAAGTTGCCTCTAATGGTTAGGGTTAGGGCGAGTCCCAGGTTAGGGTTAGAATCCCATACTAGGGTTAGGGTTAGGGTTAGGGTTAGATTCCCAGGTTGGGGTTAGTGCTGGGGTTAGGGTTAGGGGTCAGCGCTATGGTTAGGGTTAGGGTGAGCGCCATGGTTAGGGTTAGGGCTAGATGGCCAGGCTGGGGTTATCATCAGCAGCCGCCCGGACTGCGAGTCGGCTGATTTTTTGCAGGTCGGGACCCAGGAAACGCGGCGACAGTGGACGTGGCACTGGCTGGATAGGTTGGGGAAATAATCCCGTCTCCCCTAAATTGCCCTACTTGGGTCGGCGGGGAGCGGGGAATGCACGGGCCTACGCCCCGTCGGACACGCTCCCCAGGTCCCGAAAGGCTGGCGGCTACTTCCGCCAGCTGAACCGTATTTGGTCTGGTGTGTATTAATTTGTAATGAAGTTCATGTAGTCCTATTTGACTTACTCACACATACACAATTCATACATGATCTATATTTGATCTATGTATCCCTACAATGTGCCTGCTGCGTCGACGTTTCGACCTAATTTGGTCTTCTTCAGGACTGGGCACATGTAACAGCTAAGGCTGCTGGGCCCCAATTCATAGGGGTGGACCAGCCAGCAGCCAGAAAGAAATGAAAAGCCCTACCAACTTGTCTCCCTTTTATATCCCCTCCGCCAAAAATTAGACTGAATTTACTTGTATTTAAGTTATTTTCTACTCTATTTAGTTTTTGAAATCTTAACCCTTTCTGCACCGCTTGTGCTTTAAATCCATATTAATTATGTTTATTCACATATTTGTGCTTTTAATAAACAAATTAATAGGTATTTTTGATCCCAATATTAGGGTTAGGGTCCTGCTTGACCTTTGACCTCTGTGGCCTGCTTGGCCGTTGGTCATTAAGTTGCCTCTAATGGTTAGGGTTAGGGCGAGTCCCAGGTTAGGGTTAGAATCCCATACTAGGGTTAGGGTTAGGGTTAGATTCCCAGGTTGGGGTTAGTGCTGGGGTTAGGGTTAGGGGTCAGCGCTATGGTTAGGGTTAGGGTGAGCGCCATGGTTAGGGTTAGGGCTAGATGCCAGGCTGGGGTTATCATCAGCAGCCGCCCGGACTGCGAGTCGGCTGATTTTTTGCAGGTCGGGACCCAGGAAACGCGGCGACAGTGGACGTGGCACTGGCTGGATAGGTTGGGGAAATAATCCCGTCTCCCCTAAATTGCCCTACTTGGGTCGGCGGGGAGCGGGGAATGCACGGGCCTACGCCCCGTCGGACACGCTCCCCAGGTCCCGAAAGGCTGGCGGCTACTTCCGCCAGCTGAACCGTATTTGGTCTGGTGTGTATTAATTTGTAATGAAGTTCATGTAGTCCTATTTGACTTACTCACACATACACAATTCATACATGATCTATATTTGATCTATGTATCCCTACAATGTGCCTGCTGCGTCGACGTTTCGACCTAATTTGGTCTTCTTCAGGACTGGGCACATGTAACAGCTAAGGCTGCTGGGCCCCAATTCATAGGGGTGGACCAGCCAGCAGCCAGAAAGAAATGAAAAGCCCTACCAACTTGTCTCCCTTTTATATCCCCTCCGCCAAAAATTAGACTGAATTTACTTGTATTTAAGTTATTTTCTACTCTATTTAGTTTTTGAAATCTTAACCCTTTCTGCACCGCTTGTGCTTTAAATCCATATTAATTATGTTTATTCACATATTTGTGCTTTTAATAAACAAATTAATAGGTATTTTTGATCCCAATATTAGGGTTAGGGTCCTGCTTGACCTTTGACCTCTGTGGCCTGCTTGGCCGTTGGTCATTAAGTTGCCTCTAATGGTTAGGGTTAGGGCGAGTCCCAGGTTAGGGTTAGAATCCCATACTAGGGTTAGGGTTAGGGTTAGATTCCCAGGTTGGGGTTAGTGCTGGGGTTAGGGTTAGGGGTCAGCGCTATGGTTAGGGTTAGGGTGAGCGCCATGGTTAGGGTTAGGGCTAGATGCCAGGCTGGGGTTATCATCAGCAGCCGCCCGGACTGCGAGTCGGCTGATTTTTTGCAGGTCGGGACCCAGGAAACGCGGCGACAGTGGACGTGGCACTGGCTGGATAGGTTGGGGAAATAATCCCGTCTCCCCTAAATTGCCCTACTTGGGTCGGCGGGGAGCGGGGAATGCACGGGCCTACGCCCCGTCGGACACGCTCCCCAGGTCCCGAAAGGCTGGCGGCTACTTCCGCCAGCTGAACCGTATTTGGTCTGGTGTGTATTAATTTGTAATGAAGTTCATGTAGTCCTATTTGACTTACTCACACATACACAATTCATACATGATCTATATTTGATCTATGTATCCCTACAATGTGCCTGCTGCGTCGACGTTTCGACCTAATTTGGTCTTCTTCAGGACTGGGCACATGTAACAGCTAAGGCTGCTGGGCCCCAATTCATAGGGGTGGACCAGCCAGCAGCCAGAAAGAAATGAAAAGCCCTACCAACTTGTCTCCCTTTTATATCCCCTCCGCCAAAAATTAGACTGAATTTACTTGTATTTAAGTTATTTTCTACTCTATTTAGTTTTTGAAATCTTAACCCTTTCTGCACCGCTTGTGCTTTAAATCCATATTAATTATGTTTATTCACATATTTGTGCTTTTAATAAACAAATTAATAGGTATTTTTGATCCCAATATTAGGGTTAGGGTCCTGCTTGACCTTTGACCTCTGTGGCCTGCTTGGCCGTTGGTCATTAAGTTGCCTCTAATGGTTAGGGTTAGGGCGAGTCCCAGGTTAGGGTTAGAATCCCATACTAGGGTTAGGGTTAGGGTTAGATTCCCAGGTTGGGGTTAGTGCTGGGGTTAGGGTTAGGGGTCAGCGCTATGGTTAGGGTTAGGGTGAGCGCCATGGTTAGGGTTAGGGCTAGATGCCAGGCTGGGGTTATCATCAGCAGCCGCCCGGACTGCGAGTCGGCTGATTTTTTGCAGGTCGGGACCCAGGAAACGCGGCGACAGTGGACGTGGCACTGGCTGGATAGGTTGGGGAAATAATCCCGTCTCCCCTAAATTGCCCTACTTGGGTCGGCGGGGAGCGGGGAATGCACGGGCCTACGCCCCGTCGGACACGCTCCCCAGGTCCCGAAAGGCTGGCGGCTACTTCCGCCAGCTGAACCGTATTTGGTCTGGTGTGTATTAATTTGTAATGAAGTTCATGTAGTCCTATTTGACTTACTCACACATACACAATTCATACATGATCTATATTTGATCTATGTATCCCTACAATGTGCCTGCTGCGTCGACGTTTCGACCTAATTTGGTCTTCTTCAGGACTGGGCACATGTAACAGCTAAGGCTGCTGGGCCCCAATTCATAGGGGTGGACCAGCCAGCAGCCAGAAAGAAATGAAAAGCCCTACCAACTTGTCTCCCTTTTATATCCCCTCCGCCAAAAATTAGACTGAATTTACTTGTATTTAAGTTATTTTCTACTCTATTTAGTTTTTGAAATCTTAACCCTTTCTGCACCGCTTGTGCTTTAAATCCATATTAATTATGTTTATTCACATATTTGTGCTTTTAATAAACAAATTAATAGGTATTTTTGATCCCAATATTAGGGTTAGGGTCCTGCTTGACCTTTGACCTCTGTGGCCTGCTTGGCCGTTGGTCATTAAGTTGCCTCTAATGGTTAGGGTTAGGGCGAGTCCCAGGTTAGGGTTAGAATCCCATACTAGGGTTAGGGTTAGGGTTAGGGTTAGATTCCCAGGTTGGGGTTAGTGCTGGGGTTAGGGTTAGGGGTCAGCGCTATGGTTAGGGTTAGGGTGAGCGCCATGGTTAGGGTTAGGGCTAGATGCCAGGCTGGGGTTATCATCAGCAGCCGCCCGGACTGCGAGTCGGCTGATTTTTTGCAGGTCGGGACCCAGGAAACGCGGCGACAGTGGACGTGGCACTGGCTGGATAGGTTGGGGAAATAATCCCGTCTCCCCTAAATTGCCCTACTTGGGTCGGCGGGGAGCGGGGAATGCACGGGCCTACGCCCCGTCGGACACGCTCCCCAGGTCCCGAAAGGCTGGCGGCTACTTCCGCCAGCTGAACCGTATTTGGTCTGGTGTGTATTAATTTGTAATGAAGTTCATGTAGTCCTATTTGACTTACTCACACATACACAATTCATACATGATCTATATTTGATCTATGTATCCCTACAATGTGCCTGCTGCGTCGACGTTTCGACCTAATTTGGTCTTCTTCAGGACTGGGCACATGTAACAGCTAAGGCTGCTGGGCCCCAATTCATAGGGGTGGACCAGCCAGCAGCCAGAAAGAAATGAAAAGCCCTACCAACTTGTCTCCCTTTTATATCCCCTCCGCCAAAAATTAGACTGAATTTACTTGTATTTAAGTTATTTTCTACTCTATTTAGTTTTTGAAATCTTAACCCTTTCTGCACCGCTTGTGCTTTAAATCCATATTAATTATGTTTATTCACATATTTGTGCTTTTAATAAACAAATTAATAGGTATTTTTGATCCCAATATTAGGGTTAGGGTCCTGCTTGACCTTTGACCTCTGTGGCCTGCTTGGCCGTTGGTCATTAAGTTGCCTCTAATGGTTAGGGTTAGGGCGAGTCCCAGGTTAGGGTTAGAATCCCATACTAGGGTTAGGGTTAGGGTTAGGGTTAGATTCCCAGGTTGGGGTTAGTGCTGGGGTTAGGGTTAGGGGTCAGCGCTATGGTTAGGGTTAGGGTGAGCGCCATGGTTAGGGTTAGGGCTAGATGCCAGGCTGGGGTTATCATCAGCAGCCGCCCGGACTGCGAGTCGGCTGATTTTTTGCAGGTCGGGACCCAGGAAACGCGGCGACAGTGGACGTGGCACTGGCTGGATAGGTTGGGGAAATAATCCCGTCTCCCCTAAATTGCCCTACTTGGGTCGGCGGGGAGCGGGGAATGCACGGGCCTACGCCCCGTCGGACACGCTCCCCAGGTCCCGAAAGGCTGGCGGCTACTTCCGCCAGCTGAACCGTATTTGGTCTGGTGTGTATTAATTTGTAATGAAGTTCATGTAGTCCTATTTGACTTACTCACACATACACAATTCATACATGATCTATATTTGATCTATGTATCCCTACAATGTGCCTGCTGCGTCGACGTTTCGACCTAATTTGGTCTTCTTCAGGACTGGGCACATGTAACAGCTAAGGCTGCTGGGCCCCAATTCATAGGGGTGGACCAGCCAGCAGCCAGAAAGAAATGAAAAGCCCTACCAACT